CTCCCTGCTCACTCTCATGGGTGCAACAATAAACTCACAAATCCACTGTAGGGAGTGTAATGCTTTAGAAAATCAAACTGTGTCAGATGTATTTGTGCTGGCCTTTTAAGTGACATGGCAAAAATCCATGTGGTCGTTTCATTGAGATTTTATCTCTGATGCAGTGGCAGGACAGGGACATTTAGTGAGGGTTTGCTGCTCAGGTCATGAGCAGCTTTGCTGCTGCTCCTGGTTTTGTTCCAGCCTGTTCTGTGTAGTAGCCTTTTTACACACGGTGTTTGTAGTGGCAGTGGCTCTGAAACCACAGGGAAGGGAGAGGCTTAGGGAGCAGTGCTGACCCAACCACCWGCAATATTAATTTTATCTGTAAATATTCTGTTGGTGCAAACTTTTCTCTTCCTGTGTGTAATGTCTATATAGAGCAGTGCTCTGCCTGTGCACAGATGGAGCAGCAGCTGTTTGGGGTCAGCAGCCATATGATTCATTGGAATATTTTACATCCTGGATCCTTCAAAGGGCTGCTAACCTTATACTGCAGCTGCTTTCCTGGGGTAATTTTCAAGTGTCTGTGAGTAGTGTGAAAGGAATGACCACACTATTTACTGTAACCTACACAGGGTGTGCCAATGATTCCAAACCTGGGAACAGGTAAAATACCATTAACTAAATACCAATGCTACACTTGTTCTGTTGGATTGCAGATCAGAACTTTTCCTGTGTGGATTTCAATATGGAATTTCAAAAATACCTGCTGGTCTCTAGAGTTTATATGGCAAAGGGAAAACAAAAGGAGCACCAGGACGAAGGGGAATAATTTCCCTCTGACAGAGGGCAGGGTCAGATGGGAAAATCCCAGATATTCTGTGAGTCTGTGATACTGGCTGTGCTGGGTTATTGGTTGCATTTAATGATCTTAAAGATCTTTTCCAATGGGAATGATTCTGTGTTTTGCAACATATGTCACAGCAAGATGGAATTACAAGCTTGCTAGAAATTTCACCAGTTGTTTCTGAAGAACAGCCCTCGTTTATGGAACAGGGTCCYGTAGAATTCATTCAAGTGAAGAGTTCAGAGTTTCACTTCAGCAATATTTACTTGACTGTTCCTCCTTCTGCATCCCAAGCCTCTCATCTTTCCAGATAAGCTTTCCTTCTCAGGTTTCACATTTTCCTTGAGGTCTTTCTTTCTCACTCAGCTTTGGAAAAGCTCTGTTCTTATGTGCTACTTGCTGTTCCTCAGCAGACCCTGCASCTCAGCACAGTGAACTGGGCTGGATCCTGCCCTTTGAGCTGAGCCAGGACAGTTCCACTCGAGRAACATTCACTCTTCTGAACAGCACAGAGTGGGAAGGCAAAGAGCAAATGGAGTCTTTGGACTGCAGTGGGAAAATGTATTCAAATTAGTGYTCACAGACTGATTTTACTACTTTTGTTGTGGGGGCTCCATAGCCTCTTGCTCTCCTAGTAAAYATTCTGTTAGCTTGTATTGGTCTAAAACAGAAATTTTATTCTAAAAGGATCAAAATTGGAATCTCTAACTTAATGTTTTTCTTASTTTCTTTGTTCTCAATGATTGGGCTTGGTAATGAATGTTGTTTGCTGTATTTGTTCAAACTCTAGCTGAAAAAATACTGGGCTGAAAAAGAGCTAAAGTGGCAAGAGCAGGAGGAGAGAGATCTACAACATCTGGAGGAGCTGAGAAAATTAATGGCAGAACAAGCAGCCAAAGACAGAGAAAGGTAAAAGAAATGAAATGTGAATACCTAAAGTATCAATAGGAGTTTCTTATAATCTAATTTGCTTTGATCTCCTGACTTGCTTATTTAGAATAAATTGAGCATAAGTATTTTTTCCTTCCTGTTTGGCAAATGCTTCAAACTATGTACTAAGATTGTATCCTAGATGCAATTTATTTGTCAGTTTGAATTCATTCATGTCCATCAAAATTTCAGACCATTGTAAGCACTAAACTGTCATAAATTGTATCTGAGTAATAAGACCWCCTCTATTTCACTTTGCAAAATTGATTTATAATCAGATTTGGTTTGTTCATGGGCAAGTGAAAGGAGCACATTCACCACTCACCAGACTCAAAGGTGTTTATTGTTATCTTAGAGAGTCCTAAGTTGCTCCTCTGGTTGTGGATGCTCTTCACCTGTTGGATGGGATTTAGGACTTGAGCTTGCTCAACCTGAATTGCCAAATCTTTGCTGCACAGGGTGGCCTTTAATGGGCTGCTGARGAAATGCTGGATTTCATAGAGGAATCCTCTGTCAGAGGAACATAAAATAACTGCTCTCAAAGGACAGGCTGATTCCTTCAAATWGTGTGAGCCAGAAATGCAATTAAAATAGGATTAAAGGGTTATTGGCATTAGAATATTAAACTTGGTCTTAAGGATTCTATGGGAAACACTGCTTGAGTCTTTTTATATTGGGACATCTTGCTCATGACTTAATTTAAATGTCTGTGCCTTATGCTACAAATATATCTCTACCTTTCCTTAAACATGCCTGCAGTGGTTTTAGCTCAYAGGAAAAGAAACTCATGTATTTGAATTAGTGAATTTTCAGTAAAACTGATCAGGTAAAACTGATGTTTCTCCAAACCTTTATACTGTACTCTGCCATGCTGCTGGGAATGTTCTTCTCATGTTAATAAATGTTGCAGAATGAACTATGAGGAATTGGCACAGTTTGCTGAGGAATGCAGGGAGGAAATAATTGCCCCATCAGCCTGTTGGGAATCAGAAGTCTGCAAATGCTSAACATTCTGTTACTGCACAAAATGTAGAGTTTGACTGTATGGGCTCAGGTRCACCCATGGCATTGTCCTGTCCCAGAGCATCACTGCAAAACCAACAGTTCCTGATGTACTCCACCCCTGGAGCAGAAACTGGGTTTGACTCTGCAACACTCATGAAATATGGCACAGGCTGGCACCACAGCTCTGATCCATTTTCAGGGCCTTTTGGGACAGGAAAAAATGAGCTGACTGATTATTCCAAGCACAGGAGATAGCCTGGATAGTGCAGAGTTTCTAGCAGGTGTAACAAAATATTTTAAAAACACTCTGCTGTTATCCTGAATTGCTTTTAGTTAAACTAAATTTCAGTCAGGTTCTCTATCCCACCCTGTGGTAGGAAATGGTTTGGAAATATGTCACATACTCTAAAAGGATGTTCCCCCCAAAAGCAATAGATTTGGCATTACTCTTGCAGGGTGAAAATAAAGTTAACATGGAATTGTGCAAACATTTGCACTGACTACCAACGGGAAATAGGCTGGCACAGCCCTGCTCTCCAGGGAAACATCTGTGCCTGTTCCACCCCAGCCCTGAGCTGCTGCCAGCCTGGGTTCCAAGGGAATGCAGGGATTGCTCTGTGCAGAATTGGRGGTGTCTGACCCACAGGACAGATCCATGGTGACTTTGCCATGGGTTCTGTTCCCCAGGCTGGCTCAGGGTGCTGGGGAGTGCATCCCCATGCAGGCTCAGCTCCTCATCCCACTCAGGACTCTCACACTCCCCTGAAACTCCCCTGCTCTCTCCAGACATAGCAGTTCATTTGTTCCTATTGAATATTTATGAGACAGTGTCTGAAAGCAGAGTTTTAATGGAAATATGCTTATCAAAAGTTACACGAGTGTGCACCCACAATGCAACAAAAGATCCTTCACTGAAACTAATCAGTTATGCTCATTTATCAGCTGATGATTTATTAAAATTGTTACCTACTCTGGTGCTTAAAAGCAAAGTTGAGTATTAAGACATTTTGATTTGGGGCTTTTCTATAAAATTACCTTTGCTAAGAGAAACCATAGCTAAAATGTTGGTAAGTGTAATAGAGTGAAAGAGAATGAAGAACTTTATTTGGATGTGGACAGGGTGAAATCAAAGCTTGAGTAAACATTGGAAGACAAGTATAAAAAAGTATTGGAAGGGTGTTCTGACTCAGGAACATGATGTGCAGTTGAGTGTGATTT